GGAGGAAAAAAATGCTTCACAAAGGAATGTATGCCATGCACTGCTAAACATCCAGCAAAATCAGTGAAATATAGCTCACCTTTCCCATTCTCCTACTTGCGTAAAATTTAAAACAGTTCAGAATTTGGTTTATTTCAGGTGTTATAGCCAGACTATAATTCAGAAACTTCTGTATTTTGGACCTTTCTCTTTAAGATGATGGGTGTTCCCAGAGCCCTCAATAGACTCAGAGGGTACACTGTTTCTTAAAAATGGAAATTGTGGTGGCTGCGTCCAAATCTCAAGCCATTTTCAAGACCCCTCAAATCAGGAATCTCATTGGCATGCATGTCAGGATCTGTGAGTGAGTCACTCTTAATTACATTGTTGCATCTGTCTTACCCTTTTTAGGAGACTATAGCTAAAACTACGGAGAAATCGGTAGAGACTCTGTATTTATAGAGTCGTCTTTTGCCTTAATTTCAACTTCTGTTTTTTGTATTTTATGGTTCTCAGTAATATTTAAAGTAATAAGGCAGTGCAGTGTTTTTGTTTCCTTTCACAAGGAAGGAGTAAGATATCAATTGTTATGAATAAATTTCCTGGTATTTGGTGTTCAAGTCCACTACCTAAGACTGTCTTCTCTTGTCACTTGAAGCGTCATTATACTTGTTCCACATTTAATTTTATATATATATACATATATATACACACACACACACACACACATACATATTAAAAGTGCACTTAATATACACTTACATTTCTTCACACCCTTCCTTTGTGCTTCTGGCTCACCTATCATCACCAAACCCAGATGCATTCACAAATATGCACGCTTTGTGCTTGTGAGCCTCTTGACTAGAGATGAATATTCAAATTGAAAAGAGCCCTGCAGCCCAGTCCTCTGCATGGATGCTTGGCTTCAGTGTTGTATCCTCCCTGTGGGTAATGTTCTCTGCCATGTTCTTCCAATGCCATCCAAAGCAATTTCTTCCACAAAGGATATCGCATCTCTTTTTACACATTTAGGGGTCCTGTTTTACTTGGCTGCCCACTGATAATTAAGAACCCTAATTACTACTTTTATAATGTCTGTACTTATTTTCTTTTGTTTTTTAATTCCAGGTGGGAAAAATCCCCACCCAGTGGAGATGGGTAATGCATTGGTCAGCAAATCTTGTTTTTTGTTTTTTTTTAATATGCATTTCTCTTCTATTAGATTTTCATGACTGTGATTCATTCCAGGAAAATGCTAGACTTTCATTAAAAGGTTCTTAGAATAAATGTGTATTTTATCCTTTTATTTTATAAGAAGTTAACTTTAAAAGAAGTAAGGAGAGGAAGTCTGGAAGGTCAGAAGCTGTAATTTTGTAAGCAGTCATATGATTGTATTAAGGACTCTGTTCTGATTCCTTTCTTGATAAATGGTGCGTGTCATAAAATGACAGCTTGTCTGCACCTGATGCATTTCCATGGACACAGAATGCTTAATCTGTAACTTCAAGTCCTAAATGAAACCCTCTTGGAAACTAGGAAAGAGAATATCTGAGAATGTGGGTTGGAAATTAACACGGTTTAAACTAAACTCTGTTTATTTGCTTCATCTGTGCTTATGTATGATTAAAAAAAATATAAATGCAGGCCATCAAACAAAATATTAGTGTGCTGGACTTGGTAAACTGCTTCTCACTTAAGCTTTCTGACATTTGTAATTAACATTTGGGAAATTAATGTAGTTTTTGCTTCTATAAGTATATTGTAACTTTCCCTGATAGTATGCTGTGGCTGTGTAGCTGCACTCATTTGGAGCCTTGTGATGAAGTGCTTGCAGCTACCAGCATATTGATAGTGAAGCTCTTCAGGCTTTTGAAGAAGTTGCTGCCTTCCAGTTGATGCAATTCTTGTTCCAAAGCATTAGGAATATTTTCATTAGACTTCATATGGAGAATAAGGCTCATAGATTCTTACAGGTGTCTTTCTTTGGGATGAAACTCAATGTTCGTGGGCGTCAATGAGGGAGATTGTTTCCAGCTCCGTATAAAGTCAGAAAATACAAAAGTCAAGGTTCTCAGCTCAGAAGCAAAAGCTTCTATGTTTAAGACAGTTCTGTGTGTGTTCAGCACAGTTAGTATAAAGTAATAATATAGTACTATGTGAAATAAGAACGTGTTAACATCACTTGTGGGAAGTATGACTTCTGATTGTTTTGGGTTTCTTTAATTTGATTCCGTCATCTTCTCAGTAGTTTAATGCCAAATAGGTGAGTGAATTAATTTTGTTTTATTGTGTTTTCATTAAAAAAAACCCACACACACGTTTTAGAAACTGCCAGAATTAATGGATATGGCCATTTCCTAGCTAAACTCCACTAACTAATGCTTCTGAAAATTATGTTCTCTAAATTGACTCCAACTCCTAAATTATGTCTGAGCTTTTTTTCCCTAAACCTCTAGAGATATAAAGAATAGTGACTCAGCTCTCCTGCCTGTGAAAATTTGGGTATATTTTAAACAGACTAAATTTTTTTGGCATAATGCCCACTGGCAAATATTTCCTCCTTTCTAGCTACATGTGTGGCTGAGGTTTCCTTTACCTTGTCCACATTGTTAAATAACGTTATTCTCTCAAGGATCTGTGTTCTGTTTGGGTGCAGAAAGCACTTGTATCTCTTTCTGTGTATGAAGTGAATCCTATTCATCTAAGCAGCGAGATCCTTAGAGCCATCTAGTTTTGTTTCCTGACTTCAGTTTCTCCCCAGTGACAGCGATTAAGGTAACGCCTAATCAAAACATCAAGTTATCAAATGTTTAATCACCTCCTGCTGAGTTCCCAGATCAGCTTATTTCTTTGTCAAGAAAGCCTACATTTTTAAAGACTTTACTTTGGATTATAGAAACCTCAGGGTAGACTCAAGTGAGGTTTGAAGGTTTAAGTAGGTGCCTTTGGGATTGTTAAAATAAGAAGTCCATTCATTCATGAATCCTTCTGATTTAAGTTTGGCTTCCCTTTCTTGAGACGTGTATTTTTGTAAGTACTGAAACTTTGATTTCACACACTTAACAGGAGAATGAAAGAAGACGGGAACATAAATGAGGACAAAAACTCTTTTTCAAAAGGAAGTCCGAAGACTTGTTTATATTGGACAGTGAAGCAGGAAACAGCATGTGTCATAAAAGGCTCCAGCTTGTTGGCTAAAGGCTGAAACTTGAGATGTAGTCTATATATATATATATATATATGTAGTCATATATATATATATATAAAACATAAATATTCATAAAAATATTTCTAAGTGAAATTCTGAGTATCTCAGAAACTGGTGACTGATGATTGCACAGATACTTTATATGTATTTGTTTATGCATGTACACTCTCATACCATGCTTTCTTCTTTAAAAATGAATGTATTAAGCTCAGATATGTATTTCCTGTAGGATACTGTAGCCTTGCTAGCACTAGATGCACACTTGGGAGCTAAAACCCATGTTTCTCGCAGACTTGTAACGCAGTGACTTATTCTTGCCAGAGAAGCAGAAAACAAGGAACTCTGATTTCAGCAGAGCAGAAATGGGGGAATTCTTCTGTGAAGCTGAATGTTTTCAAAACAAGGCAGAATTTTTTCCTTTAGAATTTCGTCACTGTTGTATTTTAAGCAGTGATTTCTAGGGATTTTGGAGGTGTCTTATGTCCTGCCAAGACCAATTGATAAGTCTAATAACTGTTACTCAACTTCAAGACAAAAATGTGTATAAGATCTTGCTTGAGGCATTGGTCAAGGAATGTGGCTGGAACAGATCTGCTATGTACGTATTTGTAAGCACTTACAGGAAGGTGCCCATCTGTCCCTGAATCCCCTCTGTTTCTGCTTGGTTCTGTTGTATCACTGTTTCAATGGCAGCAAATATTCAAGGCAAGCTGTTGTTGGTCCTATCCACCTGCCCACCACAGATGTATTTGCAAGCAAATGATCTTCTTATCTTAGGTTTAAGAGCATTGAAACGCAGACTCAGGAGATTTCTCTGAAGGTTGGCCTTTGGAAACCTTTGATACTTGGCAAGTATTGTTGCTTCTCCTGTGTATTGACTATGTTAGGCAACTGTTTCCTTCAATTTATGCTTCAATAGTTCTGAGATTTTTAGGGAGGGAATTCTGTGTTTCACAGTGTCTGTAGCCTGTTTCTTGAATTAGTAACAATGGTTGGAAAACTAATATCATTTGAAGTTGCTCGGAAATGCTTGATTAAAAGGAGGTTTTGTGTGCCAGCAGGAGTCCCTCTGAGCATGTATCTGAAGTACAACCAAACCCCAGAAAACTCAGATGCTTTGGGATTTCTCTTTTATTTATTTATTTATTCTCATTATGGTTAGAGCGGAGCTCACCTCAAGTAACATGTTGAGAGAAAAAAAAACATTAACTTAAACAGAGATTAAGAACATATTTCTGTAAATTGTGTATGGCTATTTTGCACGTAAGAAACAGCTTTTAGTAGATGTTCATCTGAAGAAGCCAGTCTTTTTGCTACCCTTACCTGCTTATGGTGGAGTTGGAGGACTTTGTCATTTTAACTTCTTTCTAAGTGAAATAGAGTGCAGCATATGTTTAATAAGGGCTGTTCAGCTGAGAGAAGACCCTGGTCAAGGAAGTAACATGGGAGCTGGGCTGGATTTTTTTTGTCTGCTCTGACACTGTACTCAGTGCCTGCCTTGAAGATGTCTCTCTGCTTGGGCCTGTTGCTTATATGCTGAAGCATTCCTGAAGCATGTCGCTGAGCAGTTTCGGTGGAGAAAAATGATGGCTTGAGAGACCAAGGATTTATAACTGTAGGTTGCCTGTTAAATTGCAGGGCTTCAAGACTCTGCTCTTGGGACTCATAAATGATACAGGACAACTCCGGCTGACTGAATGCTCATCCAGTATCACTAGTCACCTCTTTTCAGGGCCTGCAAGATGACTTTGATGACACATGGCATAACACATGATCACGAAGCTAAATGCCTTCCCTGTTGCTATGTCTCCAGGCAGTGCTGCAAGGAGCCTCTGGGAGTTCCAGGGGGAAGAGACCAGCCTCCTTTGGAGACCTTTGCTACAGGTGAAGACCTTCAAACAAGTCAAGCAGATATATCAGGAGCTCAGAAGTTTTACGTCAAGGTAAAGAGATTATTTTTATAGCAAACTGAAGTGGCTGGTATGATTTGCAAGATAAGAATTTCCATTCTCTTCCCCCTGCCCAATGATTCTCTGAGTGTTTTCATTTGATTGCAGAAACAACATAGTGCATTGCAGGTTAGAGCCAGAAGTAATTCCTTGTGATATTGGTAGAAATGTGTGTCTGTGGTTCTTTGTTGACAAGAAAGCAAACTTTGAGAGTTCAACAGTGTGCTGTGTTTTTAGAAGCAAGTTTCCTTTTAATTTCTGCATTTGGAACTTGGAGTGGCCCCAAGTTATGGAAGCACTTTTGGATGTCTGCAGTAACAAGAGGAGAGTGAGGTTTGTGTATGCTGGATTTCTGTTTACCAGCACTAAAGTTCTCTTCATTTGATCATCCAGAACTCATTCATGCACGTAAGGGACAAACACTGGTGGATGAAGACAAAAAAGACCCCAAGAACTTTGTTAAACTTGTCAGTGCTACTTTGGGCTTTTGAATATACTATGATTTTATTAGAAAGACAAGATTTTGAATGCGGTGATGATGTGTGCCCTCTGAGTCCTTTATACTGACAAGATTGATAGAACTTTGTGTAGATGGTTGATTTGGGGAAAAAAATGGTAGCAATGGAAACAGTATTTTTCACAATTTAAGATTAAACTTAGGTCCTTCTAAAGGTCTTCCAACTTCTGCAATTTTAAAATAGCTTTTGCAAGGTGTTAACTTTAAAAATTGAAGGTTCTGTAAGTAAATTTTCCTTAATTTGTCTAATAGCAGATTTTTCTTGTTAATCCCCCATTGATCTTTCTCTGAAAGCAGGGTTCTGAACTAGACCAAAGTTCATCATTTAACATTAGTGGAGAAAAACTCAAACTGATTTCAATTTTACCATTTTTACATTCAGTATTTCACCCCATATATCTGTTATATGTGCTTGGAAGTAAGACCACCAAGCAAGGGGAGGCCCACAGAGCACCCTCTGTATGCCATTCCCTTTCTCTCTGCTTCTCACGTCATTAAATTCACTGTTTCTTCTGTCTGCCAGCAAGGCCATCTTGAACAACTGAGGATACTGTATTGAAACCTTGGCAGAGCAGAAAAACTGACAACTGCATAATGACTTTGAATGGGAGGGCAAAAATCCTGAAATACTTATCTGTTCAACGTTTCCTTTTGTTACATTTACCTTGGGACTGCATGAAACAATACAAGCTGTGGTAACCACGAAAAAAAAAAAAGTATTTCTTTCACATGTTATATAAGAAGTACAGTTGTATGCAGTGAGAGTGTAAGGACCTCATAGGAGCTTTTTGCATAATCTTTAGTGTGCACTGATGCCCTTAAATGGGGTGGTGGTGGTGATTCATGTATGGAAGTGCAAGGTGCCCTGAGCTTTTGGTGGTGCACAATGCATGGATTGAAATGCAGCCTTGAATGCTGTTACTACTTCTAGTAAATCAGTTTGTTCTGCATCTTTCTGCCTCTTTCTTCCCCTTTGTTGGAGGGCTGTTCTGCTAACCAGAAACATATGATAGGAAGCAGCCAAATGTTCTGGTGAAAATCAAGGGCACTTTCTAGCTGTGAAAGTTTTCTATTTGCCCTAGATTTTTTTCATTGATGCAGCTGTAACAATTGGTGTCAATGATATGAATAATTGATCAAGGAGTTCCTGTTGCCTCAAGTAATATTCTGCTTATTGCTTCTCAGAGCTGTTGCTGTTTGTTATACTACAGCATTGCTGGTTTTTCCTTCGTTCTTTGCTCCTACCACTTTGTTCTCTGCCTCTCCTGTAGGGGCATGTTGTTTTTCCTTCAGTGTATTCCATGTGTTACTGGGAAACGGGTTCTCCCTTTTAATCAACAACAACATATTTCAAAATAATCCATGGTCCTGGGAACTGTGCAGTATACACATCTGGTTTCCCATAAGCATGAATTGCTGGCTTTACAAACGCGAAACATGTAGTCCTGGCCACGGAGTTAGCTCAAGTGTTCCGTAACTTGAGCCTGTATTCGAAATAAAAACAAAATTGTATAGCTTCTTTACCATGCTAATGGAAAGCATTTAATTTGCTTCTTGAAGCCAACCAGAGGGATGACGCAATGCTGTTCAAGCAGATTTATGGGGCCTTTTCTTCTGCAGAAATCAATATGGCTTGGAGGTGCTGTACTGGGAGCTGGCAAGCTGACTGTGATCCAGCTGCGTTCAACTATAAACTTCTGCACCACAAACCCAAGCTGATGATTTTGATTTATCCAGGCATTGCTATATCTGAGATATTATGGTGTTGGGTTTTATTCATAGCTTTTTCTCTACTTTACTGCCGTTAATACTAGATTGAAGTTTCAAAATAGAAATCTGCTTATGATTTTTTTAAGTTGTTTGGAGGTTTTTTTTTTTTTTTGAATTTCCTGAGTTAAAGTACAGCTCTGTCTACATGCTACACATGACTTTTAGTGGGATCTTTTTCCTCAAAAACAAAACAAAAAACAGCCTTCCATTCAAACTAAGCGTTAAGGGCTAGCATAACTTTCTGCAGAAGAAGCTTTAATCGTTGAATGCCCCTTTTTTTTTTTTTTTTCCTTTTTTGTTTGTACTTATTACTGCTAGAACAAACAGAATGAGAGTGTTGCTTTTGCTCAGTCTAAAAACGTTCTTACAATATAATTATTTTTTTCCTTAAGATGTGAAACAGAGTGAAGTTTCGTAGTAACCAACTTTTATGCCTTTATTTCCTTTCCCATTCCTCTCTGCTCCCAGTAAGTCTGCTTTGGCTATTGAAACCCTGTAGGAAAGAAACATCAGCAGCCTCTTATTTTCCTCCATAATGGAGTCTTCCTTAAACATTTTATTTCTGGCAAGAATTCTCTTCTAAAATAGCTCTTACAAAACGGTTTCTGATGCTGCTTTCTCCAAGTGATGTCTGTATTACCTATGGAAGTTCCTTGGTGGTGGTTCATATGATTATGTTGATTGCCTGAAGAACTAGATCATCAGAACTAGATAATTGCTTTCTAACCTTTTTTTTTCCTTATTTCTGATCACATTTCTGTAGTAACTTTGATCCAGATTTCTTTCATCTCTAACCATTTTTCTCTTCCATATGCCTAACAATTTCATCATGAGTAAGTGGCATGAGATGTTGCAAAGAACTCGAAACTGGTTGTTGTGTAGACCTTCCTTAGAGCAGCCAAAGATGACAGGTAGGCTTGAGGTCCTTCTTGTTGGGTACGTGCTAGCAAAGAGGAAGATGAAGATGTGAGTTGTATGAGAGTCTTAGGTTGGAGTTGTTTGGATTTTTCTTTTTTATTAAGATGGAGAAGATGATGATAAATGCACTTAAGATGGGCTGTAATGTTGCTGATTGTTTTTTTTCTTTGAAAAGGCTACCATTTGAGATCTGATATAGAAGTATATGGATCCAAATAATTTCTAATGATTTTACTTATCCAGATGAATGTATCAGATCCACAGTCCTGAATTTGAATACAATTTGAAGTAATATTTAAAAAAATCTACCTATTTTTTGGGGGGAAAGGTAATTCTAATATAGATACTGAATTTTTAAGGTGTGTTAAATGTATCTTTTGCTGTGACAATGCTTTTTTGGTAGTAGTGTGGATGAGTGTGCTGAGACAGTGTGATTATTATGTTTTGAGTAAACGTAAGGACAGTTTACATCTAGTATCTGCTTGTGTAGACATAATAAATAGATTTTTGGATATCAAGTATTACCGAAAAAATTTGAACAGCCTAAGTTCTTTTCTGAAATGCTTCCATTAGGTAAACAAAATGTTTCAATATGAGCTTCATTTGATCTCAGTGGCAGAGTTGGGTCTTTGGTGTTTGTACAGTCATGAACTTATTTGACATCTTTGTGCGTGTTTTGTCTCCTGTTAAAGAATACCAAATCATCAGAGGTGCTGCCTACTGCTACTCTCTAAAAGACAGAGCTATAAGGAGCAATACATGAATCTTTAGAAGGATGAGGCATAATTCCAACAAGCCATCCTGCCCTTTTGCTTAAAGGGGCCAGATTTTCCTGATATTCAATCATTTCTACTCAGTTGTTTTCTATCTGGAACTGAAATGCGGTTGGCTTCAGAAAGCACGTTGACATGCTATGGAGAAAACGTACTGCCAATGGGTTCTGGTCTGACCATTCTAAAATTCTTGTTGACATGAAAGGTCTGTCACTGGCAGTCTGGGCTGAAATATGCCATAATACTTTGAAAGCTACACTTTATTCAAAGTTTACATTTACTGCAGCATATTTGCTTTGCTTGTATTCCCATATAAACACTAAAATGAAGTTGTTAAGAAGAACAGAAATGCTTGCAGCGTTTGCACTAAAGTTCATGGAGCATGAGATTAGCTCTATTTAGGACTTTCCTACTTTGAAGGGATTAAAAAGCCTTCTCAGAAATGGATAAATACAAAAAACATTCTCAGACTAGCGAAGTAGTATGTAAGTGTTGAGAAGAAAGGCATTTAATTATTATGTAGAGAATAATCTGAATTGAAATGCCATGTGGAAGCCACTTTATAATCTTACCTTCCTACATATGAACTGAAAAGCAGGCAAAAGTACAAGGCATGACCTAAAAATGGTAGTCTGTAAGCTGCTTTGAATATGTTGGCTTATTTTTATCTAGCCTGAAATTTTATTTTTCTTCAAGTGAAACCTGATTCTACCATTCTGCCTACTGATGTTCTCATGCTTCTAACTCTGCCAAGCGTAGCTATTGCTGCTTCATTTAAAGAGTGGAGTCTGAGTCCTACTGGAAACAGAACACTGTCTGGAGGATGCAGACTTGCTAAGAAACTTAAATAAGATAAGGCTAATCCTATTGTATGCTTCCACTTTAGGAGTTAGTATGGAAACTTGCCTTTCCTTATTATGGCCCCGTACTACTGGCTAGATGCCTTATTGGATTTCTCCCCAGGTTTTTTTTTTTTTTCTGAAATGTTGCCTTGGTAGACATTCGTATTAATAATA